GACAAATCTGAATGTGCCATAGGAAGTTTTTGTGTTTGTAACGAACCAGTATCGGAACTTTTCCATCCTAGTCTCCATGTAGCCATCCTGGGGTATTACCTCCCGTGCATTACCAGCAAATCAGAGGGGCCACAGTCCGATGCTGGGAGCCCATGGTTTGCAGGAGGGCTGGGAGGCTGAGGCATGAGTTTGGCATGTGCAGCCAGCAATGAGGTGGCAGCTGGGCAGCTGAGGGAGAACCACGGCCTCAGCATCTCCCAGCTGCTCTGCACCCGCAGCTCTTGCTCGTGGCAGCTGCCAGAGATCTGGCTCAGTGGTTATCATGTCCTGGAAGACAGGCAAGCCCTCCCGCCCCCCGCAGCTTTCCTTACACTGGCATTTAAGCAGGAGGAGATGTCGTAGCTGCACCTGCAAGAGCTCTTTGGTAGCGGGTGATCTGCTTTGGTGGGACGGTGGCACCTGGGTGTACTGTACCCACCAATCCACCATGTCCCCATCTGTCCCTTTACCCAGGTGAAAGCTTCCTGCTTCCCTCTTAGCGCTGTGCTAGCCTTTGTGTCGTGCCATCAAGGGTTTAAAAGGCAGCATGATTAAAGCAATAACATGTAATGAGGTATACATGCCTTGCTAATGGCGCCTCCCGCTTCCAAGAGCAAAGGGTGTGTCTGCCTTGGCACTCAGCAAACAGGAACACTTAGCAAACCTATGATCAGATATGAAGGGGAACAACGGGAGGAGGTGGAAAAAGTTTCTTGGTCTATTTGATCGATGGTGATAGACAAGTCCCTCCTGGTGGCCAGATTTCCCTGCTTTATCTGGTTCCTTCCCCTCAGTTTTATTTTTATGTTGTTATAAACTTGGAAGAGACATTACTGATCTATGTAATATCACAGGGTCAGTAAAAAAGAGGCTGCCCTGCCCTGCCTGTATGTTGAATGCAGAGAGTGGAGTCTTAACATACTTTCTGTGTGGGTTAGGCAGGGGGAGTAAAAGGAAAATTAAGGTCCCAGGTCAGTAAATGCAAACAAGAATAATGTGGAGAGAGAATGTGTGAAATATCCATGTCTTGGTCATTTTAGCACTGATGTCTTGCACCCTGCCATGAAGGCCTTGGCCAGACAAATGGGCGCAGAGGAGGAGTTGGGAGAGCCTGTTACAAGCATTCAGCATATACGCTTCCCGCAAGGAGCATCAGAAATCGAAATGAAGGTGTACCAGGTAAAGGGGGATAATTTATGGGGCATTGCAGAGCACCAGGCAGCGTCACTGCAAACAAAGTGCAGCACAACCTGGCAGGGCCTGTGGGGCTGTCACTGGGGCATGCAGCCAGTGTGGATGACCTGTGAGACTCTTTATGGAGCAAGATGCGTGTCCCAGGGCAGCCCAAAGCAATACGAGAATCTGTCCCTACCTTTGTGGCTCAGAGCTAGACGCACTGACACCCTGCAAGGATATGAACCTTGACACTTTGTCTGATAATACTGTATTTTAGAAAAGAATGGGAGGAGGAGAATTGCTTTGGCTTAGTCAAGTAGGTTTTGATAGTTGGCAAGTTGCTTTATGTGTTTTAGAGATTTAGTATGAACTAAGTCTTGGACATAATTCTAGCTACGAAAGCTTCTGGAAAACTTAGAAATCCACATGATCCGTGATGTGCAGAAGAAGATTAACCAGCAGATGACTCTAGTGACATCTGAAAGAGCCAGGCAAGGGAGCAGCCTCCCCACTGGTAAGGAAGAGTGAAATACCAAACGTGTTTTTACAGCTCCCCCCACCTCAACCCTTCCTGGAAAATGTGGGAACCCCAGTCTGGGAGGGGGAAAAGCAGCCTTGACGCTTACAGAAAGCAAAGTGTTGTCCTGCCCACGAGCAGGAGGGTGGGTTTGCTCTCAGCTCCCCTGCTTCCCCCTGCTTCCCCTGTATCCGCCTGGGAGCCAGGGACCAGCTCAGCCATGGGGAAGGTATCACTGATGAGAAGTGGCTTGCCCTCAGGAAACTCCCTTCTGTTTTTTAAAGCCCATGTTGTGAAATTCCAGGAATGCATTTAGCATCAGGCAGTGAACTGTGTACAAAATATATATTTCTACTCCATATGTGTGTGTGTGTGTGTGTGTGTGTGTGTGTGTGTGTGTGTGTGTGTACATACAATATATCCATATACCATATACCTATCTGCATGAACATGTTTATCCTGTCCATTCAACAGATTCAGATGCCCTAGGTCTAAGGTTTCACTTTCTTATTATGTAGTGTATATCAGCCACAAAAAACAGTTTTGCAAAGAAAGCTCGGCACTAATCATTGTGGAGTTTGCAGGCAGCCTGAAACAGACTGGTGATTAAAATGCCAGGGTTTTTTTAGTACGTTAGGTGTTTACTTTGTACAATTACTGTATGAGTTTGAGCAAATTGAATATTCACAGGCACAAATAGTAAAGCAAAGAAAAAGTGGAAGTGAAAGTGTGTTTGGCCTTGATACCAGAACAAATTTGATATTGCTGCTCAATGCAGCTTTTGCAATCTGTTTGCAATGACATTTACTTTGTTGTTGTAAACATTTTAGAAAAGATCAGAAACCCTGAGCTATAAAGCTTACCCAGCGTCAAACCCTAGGGCTTACTGAGGGATCAGTGTTTTTTGACACTGATACCCACTGATACACGGTTTATTCTATTTTTTTTTCCTTTTTTTTCTCCCTCTGTTCCTGCAGAGCTTTGGAAACATGGGGTAATACAAGAAAATTTCTCAGCTGTACGACCACAGATAGTTGAAACATTTGTTCAAAAGCTAATGCAAAACTACCAAGAATCAGATGCAGAGGTACATATTCTGTATTTCCTCCTAAGCAACAGTTAAATCATGTTTACAGCCTTAATTGTTAAAGCTCTTGTCAGTCAGTGACCTGAAAGAGTAAAACACTTCTTAAACTTATGAGCTTATATTCGGATTATGTTGTTATGTGTTTTCTAACAGCAGTATTGGCAATGAGCTTATGTGTCATCCCACTGCCTTGTGACAAGTTTAATTGCAGATCTCAGGATTGTAGTAATGTGAAGATGAGTTAGGGCTGAGGGTTTATATGCCGTAGAGGATTGCAGGACTTGATGTGTGGATTCAGTAGCAGGAACTCTTCTTCCTGAGTCAGTGCTGAATCAGGGGCCCAGCACAATATTCAAAAGCATTTCTTGTTTTTTCAGTGCAATTTAAAGAAAATGCATTGACCACTGTTGCTTAAAAATCATGGCATATGGTTTTTGAGAGGGGATGTCATCCCCAACATCCCAGGCAGTTTCTGAGCTGATGATTTGAAATGTCTACTGAAAAATCTCTTTTAGCTTCAGTTGGAAAAAATATATTGTATAGTGCAGCTAGAAGCAGTCCAAAAAGTGCAGAACCTGTTTTCCATTAGCTTAGTTAACTGAAAGAATATTTTTACAGCAACATATTTATTCCAGTGCAATTACAGAGTAGGCAAAAAACATTTGCATTGAATAATTTAAATTTTTGCTTAATTTTGGTACTGCAGAAGCATTGACTTCACAGTAAGGTGACCATGTTTTGTTTTGACTTTATCATTTTGGCATAGGCTGTATATAGCAACTCTTGGGACTATGGCTACCTGCAAGCTGTCTTGTTTTGTTTTCCTAGGTTACTTTTAAAAAAAGCCACTTACAGCAGTGTCTCACTGTACTGGGCTGTGACATCATGGCCAGAGAGCGCAGCAACTTTGAGACCTACTCCATGTTTTATGAAAATATTCTCCAACAGCAACATCGTCTCCTTTACCAAAAAGAACAAGTATTGTCAGAGCATTGATTTGACTCTTTGGGAACGGGGGAAGGTGGTTTCTCTGGGTGGGAGGCAGTTGCTAACTAAAAAGGAAGGTCTGGCTGTCAGGCTGGGAAGCAGTTGAAGCAGAGTTGGGCTATGCAAGTGTTGTCACCGTACATCTTTGTGCTTTGCTTCAGGAGCTGCATGCGGCGCAGGAAGGGGGCAACCTATGCGATACAGCTCTGACGCAGGTTGGTGGTGATGATCTAGTGGTTAGTGGTACTTAGTGTCTCAGCTGGGGCAGAGTCGGACTGAGCAATCGCATGGTGACAGTCTTTAAGGAGAAGGACGGGGGGCTCTGGGGCTCAGGGGAGCTCCTCCTGTGCTTGCCGATGCTGGAAGTCACACCAGAAGGATTTGTGAAACAAAGATAACCCGAAGGCAAAGGTAGTGGCCTGCCGTGCCCTGGTTTGTGTTCAGAATGGATGATTTGGTGGCAGCCTTTTAAGATAAATGAGAT